GTCCTATGCCTCACCATTAGTCGACCGTCTCTGCCTCTCGACTTGTCGTTGTTATTAACTCGCTTATGCCTTGTGTCACATGCGAGATATCTATTCAGGTACATTCCCACTGTACACTACTCACTGTTGGTTCTTCATCTTCGAAATCGTCCGGCTCCACGCACCAATCAATGTACGTGGCGGGAGGCTTTGGAATTTTTTCATCCGACAAACTTGGGGTAAATGCCGAGGCTTAAAGATGTCGCACAGAATGTTTTTAGCTTTGTTCCGCTAAGTGTCAGCGTCCTCCGCATACCCGACACAGTTGCGAACTCATCGGTTGAGTCCGCGGTCGCCTATCAACTGTTCTGGTCTTGTTCCTCCATCCTGGTCTCCTTGACGCAGGTCTGCGGACCGTATTCAGCTCCCATCTCTCTTTCGCTCTCGATATAGATTTTGCATGTCTTGGCACCACTATAGCTACCCTTGTATCCGTTATCCCTTGCTTTAAATGAGGTGCGTTCTTTAGCAGCGTTCATGCTTCGCGACAGCACCGGTGATCGCTGCGATCGTGGTTGCGCGACAGGGCGCGTCCCAACTAAAGGAATTCAACTTGTAGGACCTTTTTCTCTTGATAATGGCTACTAATTGAAAACTTCTGTACTTAAGAGGATCTGGAATATGAAGGAGGGAGGTTTCACCTTTTTTAAGTCGGCAGCTAGGTAAGTTTTTTTTGTTTCTTCGGTTTTCATTGCTTCAGTTGATATAAGTGTCTTAAAAGTTGAATACTGGCAGAACTGTTCCAACTTCCAAGACATTTGTAGTTTACAAGCCGTCTTCAAACAACGAAAAAAAATAAGAAGGGTAAGGAAACCCACTTAGGAATTGAAACCCTAATTGTTCCATGCAACATCAAGGGGAGGGAAACTTCAAAACTGCATGTAGAAGCTCGAAGAAACTCACCCTAAATGAAACTTACGGCTTTCGCTCATTTTCATCCTGAATCAAAAAAGAGAACACTCAAGAAAAGCCATTAGTTTGTGTCCACCTTTCTTTCGGTCAAAAAACTTTAGTATTTAAAACAATCGCAATTAAAAGAAAAAAAGGCACGAAATTGAGCCGATTTTCCCCCAAAACACTCAGAGCGGTCCATGTAATAGCGTTGGGGCGCGCTCTGTGGCGTACCGACGATCGCGGCGATCGCTGGTGCTGTCGCGAAGTATGGATGCTATCTTACTCCGATGCTACTGCGGACACCCTTTTGCTGCTCTGCATAATACTCTTGCAATGAGCCTACTTCCGGGATTTCGACATAAGTGCGAAGGCGCTCAGCCATCAGAAGCTACTTGGCAGGAACTGCTGCTCCATCGCTTGTCGCAGCTCCATAAACGAGACTGTTTCGGGTTCTTCACCCTGCAATAAAGACTCCAACAGTTTGTAAGTCGAGGCCCCGACCTTTTCCGTAGAGATGAGGCGTTTGTCGGCTTGAGCAGTCCTCCGTAAGGCCAAGTGATTTTAGAACAACCCCCACCAGGTATTCCAGGAAGTTCGAGCTTGATGCGGTCCTGGACTACTGCCTAGTTAAACATCGTAGGCCGTGGCTAGATCATGTCTAGCCGGTGCTACTTATCACACTCCTGCTGCCCTGGTGGAGTGTACTCCTTCTGCCGCAGACAGAGTAGGTGTGGCATTTGAAAATGACTTAAGATTAGTTACTCGTAAACCGTTTTATTTTGAGATATTAGGTCATCCCATTCTTTTGAGATATTAGGTCATCCCATTCAAATATGTGGAAGGTTTTATTCGTATAAAACGAAGAGGAAAACATAAAAAAAGCAATATTTTGACACTAGGTTAGGTATAGCCCTCCTTCATCAACGACACGCTCACCCAGTGCCCCGAAAGCGTTTGGACCACTGGTACCTTCGTTTTCAACAAGTGCGAGTAAATTGCTGTTGATGCCAATTTCGGCGAATGACAAAACGTTGTAGCGTTTGCCGTCGGACAGTACCTCGACTGATCAGAACTGTGGAATTCGCACTGTTTTATATTGGGCGAACGAGGCGATTGAACCCAGGACTCAGTGTTGTTTGTGTACCAGCACTGCCCCATATGCAGCCTTCTTTTACTTGTGTGGACCCAACCATTTGTCGATTCGATTGTCGAAGAGCGGGCAGTGTACAGCGACAGCGATGATTTTGTTCTCTGTACAGGGGGGGGCCAAAAAAAGTCATTCCGGCCGAGTCACATATGAGCGAAGTTTTCGCAGCCCAGACAGAGGAAGTGGATATGAGTACCAGGGCGGAAGATACCCAAGATCTTCCTCTATAAGCAGGAGCCGGCTGCCGCCATTCACCTTCATGTACACCAAAATATGAAGTCATCTCCAGTCGCGGCCTGAGTGGAGAACGCCTTTGGAATTCACGTGGCCTCCAAACAGCTGCGGAACTTCTTGAATGGAATCACCCATGGATAGCTACCTGGAGACCAGTACTCTTGATCTGCAAGACCTCAAACATCGAGCAGCTCCGGCAACGTCGCTACGGTCCAGGACATCATCTTCACCCCATTCACCAAGGCGCGGGTTGATGGTGTGGACCGGCCGTACCTGGAATGGATGAACCGATATTTTCTTCGTGGGCCCCAGACTGAGGGTGTGCGCTGGTGGCTACATCGAGCAACTCGAGGAGAATATCCCATCTTCATGTCGTCGCCCGTACCTTCTTGGAAACTTTGTACTGCTACAGGATTGGGTGACAACACATTTAATCGAAGGGCGTTGGAAAAACTTTCGCCTACTTGGAATGGAAGAACGTTGAGTACCTGGAAAAGATGGAGTATTTAAGCGGGGGTCCTGAACTAAACCCCCTCAATTACTCGGTTCGGGCGGAGCTCAACAGGGTGGTCTACAGTGGCGGAGAAATCAACGATCTCGCTCAACTCCGGTACCCACTCACTTTCGCGCGGCCGAATCTCTCGATGGCGCTCCTCCAGAAGGCTGTGGCGGAGTATCATTATAGTATTTAATGTGCTCTTTAATATGGTAGTAAAATGTCCGATAAAAATTTAATAAAGTGTAACTTATAGCGCCTTGAAAGTCATGGAGGCAAAATGACTTTTTTTGGCCCCCCCTGTATAGAGCCGCCCGAAAGAACAGTGCAGAAGTTCTTCGGTGTAATGATGATCCACCTGGGCCCTCGTAACTCCTCATGGCAGGATCAGGGCGGCTTCGCATCTGCATTCGTACGAAACAACACTTGTGAGTTTTGTCGCGGAGATCAAGAACACCTATATTTCATCAGGGGGCGGGATGGGTCTCACAACCCCAAATGACATCTTATACGGAGATCATTCTTGCTACAGGCATAGAACCGGTACTGCGTTCGTGCTTCTACAAGAAAATTAGGTACCCATGCGCACACCCTCTTGACCATCCTCAGTTTATCGGTAGTTGCAGCAGGGATGTCAGTCTCGCGAGGAAGCTCGACAGGGGTCCAGCTCTGTGATCAGACATTCAGCGCTTGACTTCATCCACCCTTTTTTCTTGTGCAGGATGAACACATATGGGACCATCCACGACAACAAATTTTTTCCTTTCTTTCTTCTTCGGGCTCCTGAACCAAATATTCTTCCTTGCATTTCGAGAACACTATTACGCGCACTACTAGTGCGGCACAGGACAAAATTGAGCAGCGCACTTTCCTCTTATAATTCGAAAATCCGACCCTCGTTTCGACCACTCCGCTTCCATTTCAATTTCTCGAAAGCTATGGCTAGGCTTGCCAAATTTCGTAGATACATAGCTTAAGGTACTAGCTTCCGCATGGCATAGTAGCGCGCTGCCCTGTCCTGGTTCCTTCTCTGCAATTCCTCTATATGTCTCCATTTTCGAATGGGATGACCTAATAACTGTTACATTGTTCTGTGTCGGACAAAACATGATTACAACTGCCTCAAAATAAAAAATCTCACCGAAAAGACAGCCACTGCCGCACTCGGTTGAAGTGCATACCCTATCCACGCACACCCTATCTCAAGGATGGCGAGTGTACCTGAAATACCGTCCTTGTCTTCCTCCATTCCGATCACCGTGCAGTTGATCAGGTTGCTTACGAACGGGTTGACTGCTTCCTTATTGCTATTGTTCCGACCCCCTTAGCGTCGTTGTTCCGGCATACTTATCGTCGCTGTTCCGGGCTCCTTGTCGTCGTTGTGTGAGCTTCGTCTCCTGATCGTCAGGAGACGAGGCTAGTACGCTGGGCGGAATGAATGTATATTGTGAACTACCACTTTTATATAATCTTGTATAGCATCTATCAGTTGTCATCTTCTTTCCTCTTCTTTCGCGGTCGTCTACTCCATTCCTGGGTGGTCACCTCCTGAATCGGCGAACCACCCTGACAGAGCTACCTGCTCCTTCGACTCCTAGCCTCCTTAAATCTGGGACAAAGCAATCCCTGACTTGCCTTTCAGGTGGAGCACTGTAGTGGCAGTGACGATTGTATTGCTGATTGATTTCTTTTATATGCAATAAGAAAGAAAAATCAGACCAGAAGTTTCTTACAATTCTGATATTCATAGGCTTCCAGAAATCCTTATAATATGTTATCAGTTTTTTAGAGCATTCCTCATTAGTCGCGTCTATGTTGGCGGAATAGGGGAATGTGCGCCAAAGGAACGTGTAAGTGTCCATTCAGTTAATTAGAGGAGGAGAGAATTTTGTTGTTGGGGAAGTAGCAGTATCTGGGATCGCGCGCCAAGGTTAGATATAAGAGTCAATTGTTCGAGTTGCCCCTTTCTACATTCTGGTGCTCATTCTCCCGTTCGCCTAATCTCATTTTCCGAGTTCCGCAGCTCGGAAGATTCTACTCATGCTTGTCTTTGTGCGCAATCCATTATTCTCCTGTGTCGCAAACTATGAAAGCAACCACAGTAGTTTTTTTTCTTTAGAAGAAGTGCGAATAGTCGATGTAGATGCCTCGGCGCTCGATGCTCTTGTTAATTTTTGTTACTCTGGTGAAATGAAGATCGGTGACGTCAGTGTGTTGAGCATTTTACCTGCCGCCAATCTGCTTCAGTTCACCGAAGTCCAGGTTGATTTGTTGATATTCACAAGTAGCTGGTCGACTCGTTGATAAGAAGGCTCCACTCACTACCAGCTCAAACAACTTGCAATACGAAAAGATTGGAAGATTGCATTTCCTGTTTTAAGGAATTGTGCTGTGAATTTCTGGAGGAGGAACTGGATATATCAAGCTGCTTGGGAATCCGAGCGCTTGCTGAGACATATGCATGTCGAAAGCTTCTTCAGTGCGCTGACAAATATATCTTGCGTAATTTTCAGGTAACCACCTTGTCGCCCCTACTTTCCTGGAATATATTTCTTTTCTCAGGAAGTCGTTGGCCTTGATGAGTTTAACTTACTCCCTATAAAACAACTTCTTGAACTGATTTCAAATGAAGAGCTCCAGGTCAGATCTGAGGAGCAGGTGCGTAAATGTAGTTAACGTTAAGCAGCCTCCATCATATTCCGTGATAGCACCGATTCAGTCACGATCGCGAGTTGCGACTGACAACGCCTCCGCGCTAGAAGTTGCAGTTTCGGTTGCTCTTTGAAGACAAACCTCGCGATTGCATATTGTGGATAGAAGCGCTCAATTAGATCTATGGTCGCCCCTGGACTCTCCAAGGAGGGAAAACGAAAAAATCATGCAGAACACCCCAAGTAAGAACCTCGCAGCCTCTCTGCCGAGTTCTTTCGAACATGTTCTTCTATGCCAGCAAAGCTTATCTATCTGCGAGGGCATCTATCGTTCCTTCGTGTCATCACTACACAATGAAAAAAAAACACGGTGCAAAAACTGAACTCGTGACAGAAGGTATCCTTCGAGCTCCGGTGGGCGGGACAGTTGGGATGGTGTCAGTACTGCTACTTATGAGGACCACAGCGCCTTCGTTACTGACTAAGATGCCGCGAAAGTGGTCAAGAATCTCAGAGACTGAGGACCAGACTGCTACTAGGAAGGACGCCTGCAAATTGCTTGAGCGCGGGACTGTCTGTAGGCAAACGACTTGATTAAATACGAAAAGGTCAAGAAAAAACTTGAGCAAGGGATGAAAGTAAAGAAGTCTCAGTAACTGTGCAACAGCAACAGGCGAACACTGTTCCAAGCCACACATGTTAAACGGTCATTTCAGAGGTTCTCTGTGCACAGCGCCGGGGCCGATCCTTTCCCTTTTCTGATCACGGCCCATAGCGCTTGCTGCATCGGACAAAATTTGGAAGGTTCCTATTCAATAGCTTTCTCCTTCACACCACCGATTATTCAAGATTTGTCTAGAAAGAACATACTTCTCGTGATAGTATAAGGTAGATTTTGCAAAGGCACGCGCTTCTTCAGAATGCAGTGCAGCAACTAAGCGCTTATTTTTTTTCAGCAGCTGAAATGGTGTGAGCAAGTTTGAAATCCATGTAACGCTGTGTCCTCTAGATGAAGCAATTCTTGTAGTCCACTAGTTCTTTTATCTCCCCTCCTGAGTGTGGTTTAACCTGACCTTATTGTGATTTTCGTATTATATTGACGATACCTCGTTTATCTGTCGATGACGCTTTTTCCAAGAGCGTCGAAAGGATGCAGCTTCCAGGCTTAAAGCGTTGCTGAAGTAAACTCGCGATCGCTACGATCGAGGCGACGGAATCGGTACTTTCGCGAAGTATGACATGAACTCTGCCTTGTACATACATTTTTTGTTATTATTAGTCGTTCTCTTAGTTGTTTTCTTCCTCATTTCTTCTCATCAGTATGTCATCCTGACATTCCTACTCTCATTATCCATTATTCAGGTCTTTGCAGCAGTGACTCAAAATGGAATTGAAATAGACTTGCAGACACGAAAGCAGTTCCTTTCGAAGGTAAGGGTGCTTTCGTTGTCAGTGGATTTCTAATTACTTTTTTTGCGCAGTTGCTGGAACACGTGAGACTTCCGCTCTGTGAGCCGCTATTTCTCGTCAGAACAGTTCACGCTTTGAGTTGAGGCATGTGTAGTGAGATAGGCTGACACCGGCTGCCGAAATTTTGTGGATGAGAGGCAAAGGTTAATGGGGTCTCGCATAGGATTGCTCCCAATCTTCACCCAATGTTTTCCATTTTTGCTTTTCAGAACTACCACCTTCTAGATGCATACAGACATGAACGACTAAATATGCAGGGGCATCGCTTTCGTCCACGGAAAGTGTTCTCCGGTGAAGTGTTGTACGCTGGTATGATAAACTACTGCGGCTCATGTTTTTTGTCCTACTGATTTTTACCACATAATCCGACCGGATTGCGAGTGAGCGAATAGAGAAGATATAAGGCTGAATCGGGGTAAATAAAGCGACTGCTGCCTGAATTGGATTCTGCTGAGGGGTTTGAGAAGTTCGATTGAAGCCTCTCAGAGCTCTCTTTACGTTTCTACTGAAACTTTCAAAGCGGACGTAATTACTCTAGTAATCGTTTGAGTTCTTCAGTATTGTATAATTTACAGTGGGAGGAATGCCTAAGGAAATGTCGTCGCTTCTGTGGAACGTCTCGATCCTGCGGAAGTGAATCCCGTGTGGAAGCAAGTCGGTTCCATGAGCAAGCGAAGGTTCACCATTTCTCTTGAACAGATACCTTTTTGTCTCAACGAAATTTCTAGGAATGGAGCCGGTGTTGTTGTTCTAGACAAACTGCTCTATGTTGTTGGCGGTTCTGATGGAGAAGCATATCGGAGTAGCTGTGAAAGGTATTAGTACGTGCATTTTGTTTACGGTAAAAGAAACCAGTGAAAATTCAAGACCTAATTTGGCAGTGATGCTGTCCGTGTCCGTCGGTCACAGCAGTGTTTTCGAGCAAGCTGAAAATGGTGCATCTCCTTTGATGAGTTCTTAATTTTCACGAGTTATCACACATCCCTGAGTTATCCCAAACATAAGCCTTTCTAAAGCCTTGTGCCGCAATGAAACGTTTCGCGCAGCTTTTACCCGCCCTCTCGCCTTTGTTTCTTCTCACTCTGTCCATGCTTACCTGCGATGTGACCTTTTCCATGAGTGGCAGCTGCGCATTTAGGGAAGGGTACCACTTTGCCATTTGCAAGAGTGTGGCATTGTGACTGGACTGGACTGTCATAGCTGTATGTTTTTTCTATCTCTAAGCCACGCCTCAGACACGCAACTCAGCCATACGCTTAGCAAAAGCCGGGTGAGCTACGTGTCTATACCATCTCATGCTTAGCTGAAGTGTCATTGTTTTCTACAGCTCGACTTCGGCGCATGCGGCACCTTGCGAGCATTCGTTGCGAATCTTTGTCCGCATCACCAATGAACATACTGGTGATACTGTAACGTCTGACATGATCACTACATGTTGAATGTGCACGAAGGTATAAAAGGCTATACAGTTATCACAATTCCCCATCTTCACTCCCAAACCCTTCCAAGCAGTCCTTGAACGCAGTTTGCAGGATAAATCCCTAAGACGAGTGGGATTAATACGCCTGGCAGAACCGTATTCCGGACGCTCACAGCACCCGCCTGCCCACAAAATGGCGATCGTACCTGGTGCTCGTATTGTGCACTTCGCTACCTAGTAGCATTGTTGCTCATTTTATGAATGTTCCTTATATAATGACCCCCTTCCCGTTCCTCCCGAACTCTCTGGTGTCTATACACGATTTCCCAGAAATCACTGAAGGCCCGAAAACTGCTTACGAACAGAATAAGTGCTTCATTCATGAAGGATAAAGCTGTGAATCTCGACTTTCCCGCAATGAAGTTCAGATTCGATCCCACGTCTGACCGATGGTCGTGCAACGTCGCTCCTATCTCTACGCATCGGTATGCATTGGGTGTTGCTGCCCTTGACGGTTTTCTTTATGCTGTGGGCGGCAGCGATGGTAGGAACTGTCAGGACACTGTTGAGTGGTGAGGGCACATAGGGCCGAATTCTCTTCATATTGGTATCTGTCAGTTGCAGCTACGACGCCCGGCGAAATCAGTGGAACCACGTGGCACCAATGGGCACACTTCGAGCTGAGCTTTCTTTATCTGTGCTTCATGGCTGTTTATATGCCATAGGAGGTTCAGATGGAAGATCGTCTTTAGCTACTGTGGAGAGGTTAGTTGATGCGTACTTTATGAGGTGATGATTATGACTAGTCTTCTTAAGTTCGAGGTTTGCGGTGGAATTACCAGTTTCATCTGTAGTAGGCATCACGTGTTATATTGGGAAGTTCTTATTCCGTATTTGGTCACTAGGGTGTCTTCACTGGCCAAGTTATTTTTTCCGGTTGTTGATTCTTATCCGTTTCACGCGGTTCCTCCACCCTCAGCCACAGTAAAACTGCTTCTATCACCCACTATATGTGTATAACCAGTCGGCTCGCCGGCTGACGCTAGCGTGCCTCCTTTTGTGTTAAGGCCCAGCTTCGCTGGGCGGGCGCAGCTTCGCCGCGCGTATCTTCTTTCAATACTCAACAATTATCCGGTTTTTCTTTCACCTGTACACATTGTCAACACTCCTTGACCAATAACATCATACCTGCTACTTTCAACACTATTACCGTCTATGAAATGGTGGTAAGCAGTGTTGATTAAGCGCGCAA